CCACCACCAGCTTCTGCCCCTCACTTGCAGACCAAGACACAAAGCTCATGGACCCTCTGGCCCTGGGGACAAGGTCATCCAGATGGTATCCCTGTGGCAGCCAGTCCTGGGCACAGTGAGGGGCTCTCAGCTACCCCACCCAGAAGCTCCTCTTCAACCCTGTCAGTGCTAGGGCTCTCTCTCCAACTTACCAATCAGTTTCCACCACCCACCCCCAGCCTTCAGCTCAGGCTGCCTCCTCCAGGAAGCCTGCAGGAACCCATACTCTGCTCTCCCTGGACTTCAGTTGCTCTGGTTCATATGGCATGGGCCTGGCAACCATGCTCGGAGGTCCTGTAAAAGCTTGGAGGGTCCTGCCCTGTCTCCAGGCAGGACACATCACTCCCTCTCTTGAAGCCTCTGGGTCAGAGCTCCATCCACACCCACAGCGAGAGGTGCCGTGGGCTCTCTCTGCCCAGATTGGGTGCTCTGTGGTTTGTTTATTCCACGATAAGCTCTATGCTAGGCTCTGAGCTAAGTGCTGGTCATGCCCCACTGAACGAGATGCCAGCCCTGACCTTGGAAACTTACTGTCTCATGGGGGACAGAGACTAGTAAATGAACAGTGACAATGCAGAGGCTGTGCTTTGGGAAGGCAAACCCAGGGGCCTGCAGTAGCACCCACAAGGCAGGGCACCCAACTCACATCAGAGGCACCCGAGATGGCTTCATCAAGGAGGGACATGTTCACTCAGACCTAAAGGATTAGCAGGAATTAGCCAGGTGAAGAGAGGGAGAGAGGGTTTGCAATATGCAGCACCTGTTTTTTGAAGGTCTCCTTTGCACCCGACGCTGGGGAATCAGCCGCAGACAAGGCAAATCCAGTCCTTGCCTTGATGGCACTTAGAGCCTGGTGTGGAGGCTGATGTAATACAAATAATTACAACACTGAACTACAACTGTGCATGAGGAAAAGATTCAGGACAGTCAGAACCTAGAATAGGAAGACTTAAGCTGGGCTGCAGATTGAGACGGGAGTTCCTGGGAAGGTGAATTTAGGCTGAAGCTTGAGGAAAGAGGAGAGGTCCACCAGGCAAAGGGAAATGCAGGGGGAAGGAATAGAATTTCAGGCAGAACAACCTGTGCAAATGCCCTGAGACAGCAAGGAATTTACTACTTTAGTAAACCTGAACATAAGGAGTAAGACAGAGTTTCGTGCATAGCAGCAATGCTTTAGTTACCCTTCATTATTATGATTAACATGTAGGAGGACTTTAAAGGCTCTCAGGTTATCATATTTATTTCCCACCACAGTCATCACAGGTTATAGTGGAACATTCTCCCCATTTCATAGAGGAGGAAATTGAGGCTCAGAGAGGTGAAGCCAGGTGCTCAAGGTCATGGAGCCAGGAAGTGGGTGTCTGGATTCAAATCCAGACCCTGTGACCCCAAGGGAGCTTCTTTGCTCCCCTCCCCACAGCCACGATATGCGCCCAAAGCCACTTCCTCACTGTTGTAGGTGTGGGATTGTACTGCTCCGACCCAAGGCCCAGACTCCCCAGTCGGAGGCCCCCCTCACCGGCTGCACTTGGGAACATGCTTACTGTGCCTTGTATTTAAACACTACTCACCCATGAAGTTTTTCATCTCAACAGATGCCAGCTGTGACCTGGAGGGAAGGGGGACTTAGGAATGTGGGTTGTTAGACGTGGACTCTGAAAATGGCCATCTCCTTCAGAAACAGGAGCGCGTTTCCACTGCAGCATCTCCAGGGTTTCTTGTCTCCTCGGTCACCGCCAAGTGCATGTTGCTCATCAAGGGATTCCATCTTAACCGACAACTCAATCGGCCCAAATTACATGATGTATGCAAATTTCCATCAGCAAATCAGCGCGGCTGATCATCACTCTCATCAGGGGGCTGCCCTGGTCTCAGGCTCCTGGGGCCCACCCTCTGTTCACCCTCTGCTGACCAAGGGAGGGGCCCCCTGGGGACCAGGAAGTAGCAGGGAGGGCTGGGCATTGCCTACCACAGAGTAGAACTGCACCCAGGCAGAGGCTGGGGGATGAGCCAGGCTCTAAATGCAAGTTGGGTTCCCACCACCAATTTCCAACGAGAGCAAACTGAGAAAGGAGCTACCAGCCTCTAACTTTAAGCCCAGGGTCTGGTGACACCTCACAATGGCACTGTCTATCAGGGAGGCAGTCCCGTACAGCAGATAAGAGCTCGGACTCTGGAGCCAGACTGCCTGCGTTCAAATCCCAGGGCTGCCACTCATCTGCTGTGTGACCTTGGGCAATTTGCCTAACCTCTCTCAGCCTCACTTTTCTGTGAAATGAAGATAAAACGGCATCCTCCATAAGGTTAGTCATGAGGCACTATGCAGGCATTTGCTGTCATCGTCACCATTTTCATCGCTATATCACCACCCTTTGCTGCACAGCAAAGGTGTGCAGCACTACACAAAGGTGTAGCAAAGCACTACAGTCCTCATACTTGTTAAATGTTAGAGTGAATCCTCTAAACTCAACAGGGTGTAACCTGGAAATGACCTTGGTTTTCCTCCCCACCAGGACTGGGAGCAGGGTAAGGCAAGGGAGGCACTGGCCTTGGGAGCAAAATTTAAGGTACCAAAAATCCCAGTAATCAAAATAAATCCTATTTTAATGCCATATTTTTAAAAAATCACAAATAATGCAAAAAAATGCATGATGTAAAAAATATCAACGTTTAAACCCACTTGGTGACCATGGTTCTTTCCCTAAGCTAAACGAAATCTCAACGGGTCAGTCCCATGACTTTGTCCTATTACTCTTAGGTAATAAAAAGTCATCTGTTCACTTGAGTAACCAAAAAGGGTCTGCTTCACTAATTAGAATGTCCAGTCCAGTGACGAGCACACTCTCATCCCATTCCGAGCCTGTCCTTGCCACCAGCTGAGGCTGAAATGCTGCTGGCCCTGAGGGGGAGGACACCTAGCTTCCTTCTCCTTGACCCCTGTCCTCCTCCTTGGACGCATGACCTTGGATTCTGACCCCCAGGGCTGAGGCCTGGAGGGAGACGGCATTCAAGGACAGGATGTCCTGCGTCCTGCAGCAGGGTAACTGGGCCTGGCGTTGTCCTCTCTGGGGTTGTGGATAAAATCCGGCTCTTTCTCAGGCGGGGCTGTCATGGGTTCTCAGATGAGTCCCCAGAGTCTGGGCTCTGGCTGATCACCCGCAGATACTTCCTTAGCCCTGGGCATCCGAGGCTCCTGTTGAGGTCACACTGCGCCTCTAGCCCTGCTTCTCTGAAGCAGGTCCACAGCCAGCCCCTAGAACACTGTGGCTCGCCTGCACCTTGCTGGCACGAGAAGTCCCTCCCCTTCCGTGTGTGCCTCATTGCCGCTTCTGCTGCCTCAGACCCTTCTAGCCATAGCTGCTCCCCTTCAGACTTCTTGGGCATGGAGCAGATGCCTAGCACTGTTTCCCAAACTTTGGGACACTCTTGTCAAGCCCTCTGTGAAGACTTATTTCATACATCAACTTGGCTGGGTTAAGGGACCCCAATCGCTGGTAAAACATTATTTCTGGGTAAGTCCAGAAGAGGGTGTTTCCAGAAGAGATTAACATTTGAGTCAGTAGACTGAATAAGGAGGACCCGCCATCACCGGTGTGGGCAGGCAGCATCCAATTCCTTGAGGGCTGGAATATAACAAAAACGCAGATGAAGCTCTCTTCTTGAGCTGGGATGCCCATCTTCTCCTGCCCTTGGACATCAGAGCTCCTGGTTCTTGGGCCTTCAGATTCCAGGGCTTACACCAGTACCCGTTCCACAAATCTGAGGCCTTCGACCTCAGTCTGGGAGCTGCACCATGGTTCTCAGGCCTTCAGACTCTAACTAAATTGTACCACCAGGTTTCCTGGGTCTCCAGTGTCCGGCCAATATACTGTGGCGTATCTCAGCCTCCATAATCACGTGAGCCTATTCCCATAATAAATCTCCTTTTATATCTCTTTCTGTAGATAAGTAGACAGATGATAGATAATTAATAGATTAGCTAACTAGATAGATAGAGCTCTATGTATCTACATCCTCTTGGCTCTGTCTCTCTAGAAAGCCTTCACTAACACGGGGTTGGAAGCGTCTCGCTCAGCGGGAGGTGAGGGGAGAAGACCACACCCAGCACCCCCACCCTGCCCTCCAAGAGAACTCTTCCATTGTCCTCTTTCCCATCCCTTCTGGAGGTGAGTGTTGAGCTAAGGTCACAAAACCTGCTGTCACCTGTGTCTCCTGAAGCTCCACTGGCTGTTCACATGTCTCCTCTGGGATCGGGGGTACTCAGCATCGTTTGCCTGGTTCCCAGCCTTGGGCAGCTCAGCAAAACTGAGACGCAGAGTCACATCTGCATTTCCTCAAGCTCCCACCATATCCTGAAGAGCGTGGCTGATGACCCCTGTTCAGAGATGGGGCATCTGCGGACCCCAGAGGCAAAGTCCCATGGCCAGGCAGTGGCATTGCTGAGACTTAAGCCCTCGGCCTCCCGCCTTCCCCACTGACCACGCCAGCTCTTTGGCGGCTATTTAGGAGGGACACTGGTTAGAATGGACAATGAGTAAACCATCAGCCCTAAAGGGGAAAATGCAGGTGGCTGTGTGTGGGGATGAGGACATGATAAAGACACATGTCTTTAGTAAGTGCCAGCTGTGTGCCTAGGCTCAGCCCCTGACCTCAGCGAGTGTGGAGGCCAGAGGACCAAGACTGACCCACATGCAGGGTACAAGGGAAGAGCAGTATAAATCAGAGGGCCCACCTGTGATGACATCCTTGAGGACCAAAGAAGCTACAAGGGATGGAGCAGCCCAGAAAGCTCCCTAGGGAGCTACACCAGGGCCCGGGCAAGTCCAAAGACCCCCAGAAGAAGAAGGGCGAGTACAGAACAATAGGACATTTGAGAGAGAGAAAGATCACATTCCCATAACTTTTATTACAGTATATTGTTATCATCGTTTTACTTTATTATTAGTTGTTGTTAATCTCTTACTGTGCCTAATTTATAAATTAAACTTTATCATCACTATGTATAGGAAAAAACAGTATATACAGTCATGCATCAATTAACAACGCGGACATCCTCTGAGCAATGCATCATTAGGTGGTTTCCTTGTTGTGCAACCATCATAGAGCGCAGTCACGCAAACCTGGCTGGTACAGCCCACTGCACCGTGTGGCCGTGTGGGGCTAATCTTATGGGAGCACAGTCATGTATGAGGTATGCTGTTGAAACACCATCATGTGGCACTTAACTGGCTAGAATTCAGTACTGTCTGTGGCTTCAGGCATCCTCTGGAGGTCTTGGAGTGAGTTTCCTGCGGGTAAGGGGGACTACTGTATAATGAGGATGATAATGGTACCTCAGATCAGAGGGCTGTGGGGACAATAAAACAAGATAATGCACAGGGCCAAGCAGTGTCTGGCACACATTCAAAAGTACTTTAATGTTAGCAAAGTGGTGCCTCCAGCTGTGTGCCAGAGCCCTGTGCCACCAGAGGGTGGGGACAGGGAACACTGAGCAGGGCCAAGTCCTTTAATGCCCCATTTACACTTTCCACGAAAGAGAGGGGAATGTTTTCCCAAGTGCTAACAGATCAGGAATTCACTCAACAACCACGCATCCAAGCAAATGGCTTTGGATCCAGTAGATGCTCCATAAGCACAGAGCCCCTAAGTACAGCTGATGAGAAAGAATAGAGCTGGTCCAAGAGTGAGCCTGATTGGAAAGGGGGTGAAGGAGGCCTTCCCAGAAGAGGTGCTGTTTGAGCCAGGGCTTGGAGAGTGAGGGGGGAGCTGCAGGAAGACAAGGCAAGATGAAGAGGGAGCGGCGTCCCTAGGGTGGAGGCTCAGAAAGCCCCCAGGGAGCTCCAGGGAGCAGGGCAGCTAGAGGTTCTCCAGCCACAGGTGAGCACAGGGCTCTGCTCCCCTTCTCTGTCTGCCTCCTCCATTGCACAGTGCACTCCCTGGGTGCAGGACCAGATCTACCCTGGTGACCAGGGTGGCCCTGGCCTCCAGCCTACTGCTGCCTGCAGTAGGTGCCCATGGAGTATGTCTAACTGCTCGTGGGCCCCTGGACACAGAGCCTGCCAGTCCGTGTCCTGGCTCTCCCTGGGGCTCGAAACAAGTTCTTCATTTGTTCAGCAGGATTTGTGGAGCACCCACCATGTGCTGGCACCACCACAGGTGCTGGGGTGCAGTAGTGGGCAGGGCACGAGGCTGAGTCTCCAGTGAGCGCGCTGTGATGACCCTGGGACCTGGGGCTTGCTCTGCCCTCCCAAATCTCTGTAGCTAGTGAGGACACCTCAGGCTTGGTGGGGCCTGGCAGCAGGGAGTCCTACGCCACAGAGACGAGGGGAAGCAGATCTGCAGGTGGGAGTGGGGGGGAACCACAGGTGGACTTCATCAACTTTAAGGTCCCTTCAGCCCTGAGATGCTCTGAATCTTCTATTCCTGACGCTTCAGAATTAAAGGGAGAATTCCAGCACAACCAAGGCCTGCAAGATTCCAAAGACAAGGAGACGGAAGACCCTGGGCAAGTCCCTTACTCCCTCTGGACCGGCAAAATGAGAGGCCTGGAAACGGCTGCAGGGCCCTCTCAGCACAGATGCCTCCCAGGATCCTTGGCTCTCCTTGAGGCAGGGAAACCTCCTCCTAATGATGCTCACTTAACAGTGTCCACAGACAGTCTTGGGCCACACTGAGTGTTCCCCAAGGCCCCAGAGAGGACCAGACAGTCACCCAGATGGGGAAGGGGCCCTGGGTCCAGATCCCAGTGGGTGACAGAATCTCTGTGTCTGGCTGTGTGCCGTGCTGAGGTGTTGCTGAGAATTCCAACCCAACCCTTTGTCCCAGGCCCATGGACATCCTCACCCCAGCCACCCTCTGCCGGGCCTTGTTTTAGATACTCTTCTTACTCTGGCCAGGTCCCAGGTAATCAAGCCGGGAAGCTTCAGGCCACCTCCCCGACTGAGTGTCCACCTCCCTACTTCCATCCTCTCTTAGCAACTCTGACTCTTCCAGAATCTCCTCTCTGGCCACCCCAGCCACTATCTGCACCCTGGTCCCTCCAGCTGCATGAACTTCCCTTCTCCACTCTAAGCAGGGGCATGTCCTGCTCTCACAGAACCCACCTTCCATGAGAGGTTTCAGACCACCTGTAAGGCTCCCACTACAGTCCCCCTCTTTCCACAAGGAACCTAGACATCCCCTCGCATCATGCTTAGAACGAAAGCCTCTGCACGTGCCGGGGCTTTAGTAACTACAGAGCACTGCGTGTCCATCATCTCATTCGGCCTGACAGGTGGGCAGGGTGGGTAAGCTAGCAGATGAGCAAAGCGAGGGGCAGAGAGGGGAAGAGGCTTGGACAAAGCCTCACAGCCAGCAAGGGGCCAAGCTGGGATTTGCTCCCACTTCTCCAGAAATCCAAGGCAGGACTTTTCCCACAATTCCACACAACCTTCTGTATAGTACCTGGCAGTGGGGGTAGGAAGTTGCAAACTTGTGACCCAAGGGCCTGAATGTTTCGTTTGGCTAACAGCATTTTCTTTAATGTTGCATTCCAATGCTGTTGGTGAGGCACACTATTCAGTTCTCCGTGAACCCCGCCAGTCTTCAGGGTCTTACTCCTGCCTCCTTCATGCATTTCTATTGTCTGCCCTGCTCCTGGAGGCATCAGTTTGTGGCCCAAGTCTAAGCGCAGGAAGCTGTTCTTTGTGTCTATGCCCCTCTACTCTCCCAGTGCCCTCTGCCTTCCCTCTCAACCCTGCTCTCTGGGCTCCTAGCTTGGTAGTAACCTCCCAGCACTATCCTTCCACCCATCTGGGCTGTCCTTCTGCCTGGAATCCCTGTTCCACCCTCCTTACCTGGAAAATGCTCTTTCATTCATTCATCCCACGAGTATGCACCAAACCTTATCCCATGGCCCAGGCACTGTTCTAGGTGATGAGAATTCAAGGGTAACTAGGACAGGGTCCCTTCTCTAAAGGGGCCCTCAGCCTCTCTGGAGACACAAACACATAAGTGGACAAACCTAGAGCAACTTTTAAGTGAGGTGCTGGAGATAAGCACAGAATAATCCAGGGCTTGCTCAAATATCACCTCCTCCAGAATGCTTTCCTACACCAGTCAGGGGTCCCTCCTATGCACCCCCAGAATGCCCTAAATGAGCCTCTCACTTAGGATACCTTTAAGCTGGAGTCAGAAACAAAGATATTTTCATTTCAATATCCCCAAGACTGAGCACAGGTCCCAGTGCCTGTGAGGACTGGTTGAATGAGTGAATAATAAATAATTAATGAATGAAGGCAGGCCATTATTGGCTTATTTCCCTATAAGTATTTCTATTTTCACACTCTCTAGTGTGTCTATATTGCTGTTAAGCTAACCACCCCTGTGGACACTTACTACCTGCCTGCTCTGTGTGGTGCCTCTCGCCAGGTTCTGGGGCCAGTGGACAAATGGGACACGGCTCCTGGCTGCAGATGGCACAGGCAGCAGGACAGACAAACCTATAAACACACACAGTGGTAGCCGGCAGTGTGTGACCCTACCCTATGTCAGTGTGTGCATTTCACTGGAGCCGTGACGTTTTACCCTTGTCTGCTGTGACTGATTTCAACTGTGAGTGATTTCAATGATATGACAATCTGGCCTTGAGCAAAAAAAAGAAATGAGGAGAAAAAAGAGAACTTCCATGCGTGGAGCAGAAATCTTGAGTGTGGCCCAGGGCAGCAGGGACAGGCCAGGAAAGTGGTGAGGGCAGAAGAGAGAGAACACGACTTGGCATCTGCCCCAACCAGACAGTGCCTAAGACATGGAAGGTATGTGGACGGGGGTTGTAAAATTGGACTAAATTGGAAAATAAGAGGCACCTGATGCAGGGTGACCAAACCAGCTCAGAGGCAGTGCCGGCAGTGGTCCTGGAAGCCCATGTCCCCACGGGTAGCTCACCAACTCCCTCTTCTGTCCTCCCACCTTCTACACTCTGTGTCACCTCCCAGAGGTGCAGAGAGGAAAGGTCTTGCTCTCCCAGCAGGCAGCACGTGGACAGGAAGTGGCATTCAGTGGAGCCATGATCAAGGGTGAGAACACCACTGCTTCCCCAAATTGGTTTTCCAACAGCAAATTATAACTGCTCTAAGTGTTCTAGAACTCAGGGACTGAGATTAATTATGGCTCCATAGCCTATGGCGCTCTGAACTTTAAGCACAGCATGGTGTGCAGGTTGTTAATAAGAAGGAGGATCTTGGAGGACTTTTCAGATGAGCAAAGAAAAAAAGAAAAACAATTTGAATTGGCTTCTGCTTCTGCCAAGGAGAAGCCTTTGGGCCTGGAGGGCTGATTCCCAACTTGTCAACCTCACCGCAGACAGTGTTTGCGGTGGTCAGAAGCACAAAGTGGCTCCCAGGGTGTGGGTTCCTGTGGCGGGCCTCCGTCCACCTGGCCCAGAACGGATCCAACCACCAGGCTGGTCAGCCTTTTATAGCACAAACCAGACCAGCAGTCACAAACGCAGATGTCAGTAAAGTCGGGAAGGTAAAATAAATAAGTGGGGCTTGCAGGCTGGGGCCACAATAGGGAATGGTGGAGACTGAGGAGCTGAGGAGCTCACTCCCTCAAGGGGCAACCTCAACCCAGCCTCAGCCAATCGTTGTTACATGGAAGTACTGCCTGGGCTAGTGGGTCTGTAAGAGCAGAATTCTAGGTTTCTATATAAAAGCTTTCTATTTTTATAGCTAAAAGCTTATTATAATTTTAACACACTTTATGGGGACAAACAAAACAGACCTATGCTGGAATTTCATCCATGGGCCACCATCTTGAAACCTCTACACCTGAAAACAGTCTCTTCCCTCAGGTGGATGGCAGGTCTGGACGTCTCTCCTCCCAGGGAGAGGGGAGCCTCCCTGCCCTTCTGCCTCTTGGCTCCCTCTCTCCCACTGCTTTTCTCTCTGCAACCCTCACCACAGGCACCATCCTTATCTTCGTGGATTATACACCCCTGTATCCAGAGCAACTAAGAAAAGGGCCCACAAAGCAGCAGCTCAAACCACATTTGTTGAATGAATGAATAAACCTCATGCACTTTTAAACCCCTCTACTTTTGCTCATTCTCTCCGTTCCACCTCAACAGTCCTTAATTCAAAACCTGACACATGCATCCAGTCCAACCCCATGTTCCCTCCATTCCCTTGGCCATGTTTCCAGGTTCCGAAGCTGAGGTCAGCATCATGGAGGGTTAGAAGCAGAAGAGCGTAGAGTCCGTGGCAGCCGTGGTTCAGATGAGGGACTGGAAGTCTAGCAGGAGGAAATGATTTGCACAGACCAAACCCTGAAAGAGAAGCCAAGCCAGACCGCGAGTGAGGAGTCGGGCTGTGTGAGGTGGGAGCCCCTGTGACTCCTCCCTGGGCCCCCTGCCCCTCTCTGAGAGCACTCACTGCTCACACTTTGGGGGCCAAGCCTCTGCCCGCCCCCATCCTGGGGCGAGTTCTGCAGCAGTGCAATTCTCCAACTCTCACTTCCCGAGGAGAGGGCCAGGGCCACCATCGCCCCAGCATGCACTCAGCTCGAGATGCACTGGGAAAGGCCTTCATATAGCATAAAGCAGAAATTGCCATTTAGAATGTGAAATTAATTTATTCTATTAAACCTTGTGCTGGAGCCGGGCCCCATGGGTACTCTATCTCTGCTGTTGGGCTCTAAGGTGGACCCACTCTGGGGATACTGACCCTTGCAGCCCAGCACCTGGCTAAGGCCATGGCCACAACTCACCCCATCCCAAGGCAGCTGCTTGCCGAGAGGGTAATATCTGGTTGTTATCTGGATACAAGCAAGAGATTGGAGGGAACAGCACATTTGTGCTAGAGGCTGGTTACCTTCCTTTCCTCCCTCCTTCTCCCAGCTGGAAACGCAGAGAAGGAACCACACATGTGGGAAATGGAGGCAGGCAAGTGTCAAGGTCAAGAACCTGGGCTTTGGAGTAAGACAGACCTGACTTGAGTTCAAGCTCCAGTGTTTACTAATGTGTGAGCTTGTACCAGCCCTTCTATCCCTGTCTGCTTCAGTTTCCAGCTCTACAAAATGGAGATACGAAAAGAATACAAACCACTGTATTTCCAGGTGGAAGCGGTGCTGAGCATCTTGGGTACTTTGGATTGTCTAATCTTAACAACTCTACGGGCTACATTCTACTATTAGAGGCTCCATTTTACAAATATGGAAACTGAGGCACAGAGAGGCAAGCTCGGTTGTAAAAACTAACACAGCCAGTAAATACTGGAACTGTAATTCAAACAATGCTACGCATAGCTCTAAAACTCATGTTCATCTTTTCTTAATTTTTAAGAAAACATAAACATGATTCAAAGCCCAGGAAGCGTCACCTTTGCAGAGTGAAGCCCCCTTCACGCCGTTGTCCTGCACCTTCAAGCACCCTGCTCTCAATAACCATGCTCCCAAGTCTCTTGTTTGAACTTGCAGAGGTAGAAGCACACAAGCAAATACAAACACAAACTTTATCCCTGCCCTTTTATATGAAAGGTCAGATATTACACATGTTGCTCCACACCTTGTTTTTTTGTGCTGTTTTTAAATAATTTTAGACCCACGTAGAAACTGCAAAAATAGTACAGAGAATGCCCCTGCACCCTTCGCCCCGCTTCCCTTGATGACAAGATCTTAAAGAACCGGAGGACAGCTAGCCGCCGAGGACACGGACTGCGGCGCATGCAGTCGCGTGCAGACCTTGTTTGGACTTTACCAGATTACCTGCACTACGTTTTTAGGCTTTTGGTAAATAGCTCCACGAAGTTTTATGACATGTATAGATTTGTGTAACCACCACCTCAATCAGGATTCAGGACTGTTCCACTACCACAAAGAAAATTCCACACACTATCACTTTACGGTTACACTCCTCTCCTAACCAAGCCCCTGGAACCACTAGGCTGTTCTCCATCACCGCAGTTTGTCACTTTGAGAGTAGCAAATAATAGATGGAATCCACAGTATGTAACCTCTGAGACCGGCTTTTGTCCTTCAGCATAACACCCTTGAGATCATCCAACATGTTGCCAGTGTCAGTAGTTTATTCCTTTTCCTTGATGAGTAGTATTTCATTGTATGAATGTAGCACAGTTTGTTCATCCACTCACCTGGTGGAAGACCCTTGGGTTGTTTTCATTCTTTAGCTAATTCAAATAAAGCTGTTATCGACATTTGTGTATGGATTTTTTGTATGAGCATAAGCTTTCATTTTTCTTGGGTGAATACCCAGGGATGGAATGGCTGGGTCATATAGCTTGTATATGTTTAACTCTGTAAGAAACTGACAAACTGTGTTCCAGAGTAGCTGTTCCATTTTGCCTTCCCACCAGCAAAGTATGACAATTCCTGTTGCTCCGCATCCTCACCAGCACCTGGTATTGTCAATATTTTTATTTTAGCCATTCTAATAGGCATGTAGTGGTACCTCACAGCACTCCTTACTTTTTTAACTTGAAATGGCTTAGAGCTCTTTCTTTATCAGAATAGAAAGCTACTCATTTTTTTTCCGCAGCTGCATTGTACTTTCTTGTATGGATACAAACCAAAATTTAGCTAACTGATCTCTTTGTGGTTGGCGTTTGGGTATTTCCAATCTTTGCTATTTCAGATATTTGAACCCCAACTCTCAACCACCACATTTAACAGCCTTTGCAAATATCAAAGGAGCTATGAATGTACATCTTGTCTTTTCCAGCAAAAGATTGTATTAGCAATTCTTTCGATTGCAAGTGAAAAAAATATAACTTGAACGAGCTTAAATTAAAAGGGCTCAGGGGCGGAGTGATTGCATAACCAATTGCCAAGTTGAATAACCCAACTTCAGGAATGGTGGGGTCAAGAGATTCAGAACTGGGGCCCCAGATGGCACTGGGCCTCTCTCCAGCTCCCTTGCCTCTCCTTTCCTGTGTCTGGGTCTTTCTCCGCAGTGAAGACTGGCTCTCTCCACAGGGCAGCAAGCATGGCCCCCGACAGCCACCAGGCATTACATCTGACAGCTCTCTGCACTGTGGAGAAACTGCCTTTCTTTGTCAGATCTAAACCTAAGGTGTCGGAGAAGAGTTCAAACCAAGTCTGGGGTAGGGGTGGGCAGTTCTGATGCAGTCCTGGCCGTCTCAGGTATGACAGGCAGTTCCTGAGATAAATGTGTGTGCAGAGAAGGGACTGGAGAACAAACCCAAAGATGTAAAGAGGTCTCCTCTCTGGGGATTGACCATATCAGATTCATTCTCACACCTCCCAAAACAAATAGCCACACTCAGCACATGTTAGATACTAAAGGCATGCAGCTGGTCCTGAACAAGATATGTGTCAATCAATCGAGCATTCTGGTAAATGGCTTCTTATTTCTTCTCATGCTGGGGCAACCCACCATTAGAATAATTTCGTTAAATGCCTCCACGAAGCAGGCTTTCTTCACCTAAATGCTCACAGCAGGATTTGCCTAAAGTGGGGCATGCCTGTAGTCTCGGTTCCTGGGGGAAACCTTTGATTTTCCTGACAACCCACTGAGAGAGGCAAGGATGCTACGAGGGCAAACGGTTAATGGATGTGAAAGCTTTCTGCGACCTATAAGTGGCACAGAAATGTAGGACCTCATCATGACTATTATGATTATCCTTATTTCATCTCTTCTTTGAAGAGCTTTACACTGTAATTTTGGAAGTGGAATTGGAGACACCTGTCTAACAGTTCAACCTCATACTTCTACTCCAAGGCTCAGTCCTCTGCCCCAGAGCATCATTTCCCACGGGCCAATGCTTCTATTAAACACAACGTAAAGAGATTTCTGCAGCCAGAGGCCTCCTTGGGCAGGAATAAAGGGAGGCACTGAGGCAGGGGCTTCCCGAGGACCATTTAATCAGCTCTAAACTACCTTGTGCCAGAACAGCCCTTTCTACCCCAAATTTAGGGATTTGACTTAGTCTTCCTGGAGCACCTAACTCTATGCCAAGCCCTGTGCCAGATGCTGGAATCCCAGGAAGGCTGCAGCCACAGGGAGGCAGCGCATCCAGCTAACTGTCCTTGCAGGCAGTGAAGGGAGATGCAGAGATCTCGTATAGTCAATTGGGAAGGTGCTATGGGGAAGACCCCAGCTCTTAGCTTGACAGAGAAGTGATGAGCATTTGAATGACACCACTGACTGCAACCTCAAGCCTTCCCCCGCTGCCCCTCAAGTTCTAAGGCCTTTGCAGCTGCACAGGGGTCCTCGTAGATTTCCCCCAATATTCCCTCTCCTTCTCTACATTTTCCCTCCCTTTCTCCAGATTCCTTCTCCTTGTTTCCCAGTGCCTTTGCCTTCCTTCAAAGTCCACCTCCATTCCTACCGCTCTCCCATGCTTGGTTCTGCAGAGAATCCACCACCGCCCACTCCCCCCGCCACCCCAGCCCTTCCCTCCCTTGCTCTGCCAGGCCACAATAAAACGTACTTAGCTCCCAGAGCCTTTGTCATAAATCACTCTCTGTAGAGGCTCCATCATTTTTATTGCTCTTCTGTGAACATCCTGTCATTCCTCTCCGTTTCGGATATTGGTAAACTTGGAACTCACGGCACTTCTCCCGGACGCATCTCATTAGAGACCTGCCAATGGCTTTCTGCCTTTGCACAGTGTGGCTTCTCTAGCCAAGTGTCCTGGCCCCATCATGACTTCTGGCAGACGCCCCCCAAAATCAGTTAGGGTCAAGCCCACATGGTTAACTGGGAGTCTCCAAGGACCTCACCATTCGTGCCCTTCCTTCTTCCTCGTTCATGGGACAGCCTGTCTCAGGACTCCCAGACACCATGGCTGAGACTGGACAATGGTGCTGGTGGCCATCCTGAGCCCCTCACCCCAGAAAGAGGCTAAGGGGCTCCAACTTGTTGGAGCAAACACTGCACTGGAGTCAGGAGGCTCTGCAATATTTATGGTGCATAAATGATGTTCATGAGTGGGCAAGGGTGGTCAAAAGGAAATGAATTCTGTTGAAGGGGTAACATATCACAATGGTGAATAAACGCGGACTAACTGGCATGAGTAAACTTGGTGGAACTATACAGGCCACCAGACCTTGAGGACGTATAGACAGGACAAGGAGGGAATTGCTGCAGACCATTTACCTCCTTGCCGCCTCACAAGTGAGGCGAGCTGAGAACCTGATGGATTTTGACCAAATGAAGCAGGGATTCCATCAGAGGCTGGTCTGTGCATGAGCTCCCCCCATCTCCCCATCTTGTAATAGAATATCTCAATGAGGAAAATGACATGTAAGTGCAGTTATTGGGACTTGGATGTGGAGCAACGTGTCGTC